GCATGGCTAATTCTGGTTGTGGCTAACCCCTGAGTGTTTACTTTTCCTTAACCCTATACTCTATGGTGTGCAAAATGTTAGGGGTCAGTAGTCTTCCCTTCATCTATTATTTTTTAACTGTTGGTATTCTCTTAGTCTTCATGTGATTTGAACGGTTAAAACTCTATTTGCAGGCCTGTACGCAGGAATTTCTGTAGCGGTATGCAAGCTGTGGGAGGGGCTGGTGCCCTCCCCACCCCTCACAGCCCAGCCTTGTCCCCCTGCCCAGCCCAGCCCAGCCCCAACCCTGTCCTCACTCCTGGGTGAGGAAGGTGGAAATTAGCTCCAGCCTTCCACAGCTGGCCAGAGCACGGGGGAGGGAGGCTGGAGCAATGTGCTGCCCCTGCCTTCCCTAGGTCAGCTGGAATTGGCCCCATGGCAGACCATGAAGGACCATTCGCACCCTTTGCACCGCCCTGCATACGGACCTGACCTGTATATGTGTATATAATTCAGAAATGTGAGCAAATGCAGGGGTGGCTACAAAAGAACGTCAAATATGGGTATTTTGTAAAATGATGACATTGTCTATTTCATTTAATGACATTTCTTACTAATTAAAACCCTGATCTTGCTGCTATTTACGTCAATAGCAAAACTCCAGTTGACTTCAATTTGGGCAAGACTGTTCCCTCACAGGGCAAAGGTGGTCTTGTGGCAAAGTACAATTGGATGACTTAGGCTCTGTTCCCATTTCTGTGGTGTTACGAGGTTTCACAAACTAATGTTGTGAGCTGCTTTGAGATCTTCTTCTAAAAGGCACTATAAAAGCCAACTGTATGTTTAATAAATAAAGTGCCATCAATTAATCAAATGTCTAGTTTTGGTTGAACTATGAAGAACATTTGCAATAAGTGATGTGAAAGTTGTGAAGTATTCTTATGTTATAAGGGGAGGGGAGGGTTTTTTCCCTCCAATTTACTCAGTAAGGCCCTGATTCTGCCTACAGTCAGGCCAGTTCTACATACAAAAGTTTGTCACTTCAAATATACTGGTAGTATTAAAGCACTACAATCCCTCTTGTCTGGATACAGTTATATTGGTATAAATGTGTTTATTCCAGGATAAAGGTGCCTTATATCTATATGATTTATCTCCCTTTCCATAAGAGAATAAGGTATACTGGTGTAACATACTTTCATATCAGCATAACTATGCTCACATCAGTGTTGGTATAACTGGTAAGAAATCACATGCCTAACAAACACAATTATGTCAATACAAAGTCTTAACATAATTCAGGCATTAAGCATATGCATAAACCTACATGGGCAAGTAACTGTATTTAAGTCAAAGGAATTACTCCCACCAGTAAATATACACATGAACTTAACTATTAGAAGTCAAAATATTCTGCCAAATATAAAGGTCCACAAGACTCTGCATTATCTCCATGAAAAAGTTCCTATCCGATAGTTCATAGCAACTGAAGGAAATGCAATGATTTTCATGATTTTTATCATCTTTTAATATTGTTTTATTAACTGTGGTTGTAGATGTTTTGAGTTGTAACCATTGCTTTCTTCTTTGTTTTCCCTTCTTATCCTCTAAGCCAAAACATAAAGTAAAGCTAACATGTTTGCCATATTTCATCCTGTGCAAGCAAAAGCTATAACTAACAGAGAAGAGATGGTTTAATTTTTTTAAGATACTGCTTTTACAGAATTGTCATTCAAAAGTAGTGGAGAACATCTCTGGAGCTGATAGTGTCACTTTACATTGCACAGAGTAGAGTATGTCTCTGATATACAAAACTCTGATAACTCCTTATAATGATGTGTTAATGTACAGAGTGATTTTGTAAATTTTTATACCTTATTAAGGAAATGATTCAAGCCCAGGAAATGTGCGGGTTAAGTACTTGCTTTCATAAGCATGGGTTACCGTGGAACAAGATTTTAGATATTATGTGGAAAAATGTAGTAAAAAGCGCTGAATTAGCCCATTCCATGACATTGAATTGTTCAGCAATTATGGTCATTCCTGGGCCTAGAAAACTAAAGTATATGATGAAAACCCAATCTAAAGATATCAACTGCTTTGCTATTGAAGACGCAGCATATCATGTCTTAAAGGCATTTAGAAATCCAGTGACCACAAAAAAGTTATCTGAAAAGTAATCTAAAGAAGTGGGCTGTGCCCACTAAAGCTCATGATACCATCTACATGTTTTGTTAGTCTTTAAAGTGCTACCAGAGTATTTGTTGTTTTTTAAGTTTTTCCTGAAACTTAGTTGTCATTCGGCAAACTGATAATCCGGATCCAACCCTGCATTCCTTTCTGTGTTCTTAGCAGAGCTTGCTCATGAAGCTATTAAAGCAAACTGGAATCTTGCCCAGCTAAGACATGCAAGACTGGTCTCCTTATATTTAGATTCTTACATAAAACTAATTACTGCAAAGTGAGGGCATTAGCTCGCAGTCTTTATTCAGGGATAACTTCTTTTGAAGTTGATGGGTGCTTTCTTTCAGTGTAACAAATGCAGATTCAGGCCCATCAAACTCACCAAGGAACTATTCAGCTTATTTGGAAACAAAAATGTGTTATGATTTCAGCTGGACGGAGAGTGTAACATGCAAATATGCATTTGAATCTGAAAGCAAATTTGGATTTCACTCTATTCACAACCCTATTGTGTTCATTTACTATGAATATTTTATTGCCAGGCATTACATGCACAAATACTCATGAAAAGCAAATTTCTTACTGAAAAGCTTAAAAGTTCACTGAACATTAATTTTGAATTGAACAGTCCTCAGTTACTGCTTAAGTCTTCCAATGTGGGATCAGAAGCAATATTGTGTGATGTATGTAACAGCATGAAGTTGTATAGTTTGCCAATGATCTGCAGAGTAAGAATTGTTTTCTGATCTAATTCATGAATAAATGTTAAAATTCTGCAATCTCTTCATGTACATTTCATGAAGAGAAAGAGAAGTGGCATTTCTCAGATAAATTTTTGTTATAAAATTATTCTCCCAGCTTTAGTTTTGCTCTAGAATTTACTGACGCCATTCACAACTACCAAATACAAGTAGAACAGATCTGTTTCTCAATTTTAAAAGCCACTATCCTTTCTCTCTCTTGCAGTTAACTTCAGCCAGATTTTTTTTTTCTAAATTTAAAAATAATCATGTGGCTCCTCACTATAAAATGTCTGTCTCCTCCACTCCCAGCCTCCTGGGGGCTGCCGTAGGCATGGTCTGTAAATTAAGTGGAGGCACTCAGCCCTCAGTTCACTTCTAGACAAACATTAGCAGCAGTGTTTACCCTTGTGTAATCTTCAGTTTTGCATTAATTTAATACTGCTCAGCACTTTTTTAACATATTCAGCAAATCCACGGCACACAGTGCTTTGTGTCTGTATCTCCCCAATCAAACCAAGTTTTGATTCTTAACCAAACTCATCAAAGTGAACTCCTTGTGATACTTTTCTCCCCCTACTTTGATCTCTACTTAAGAAAAAAAGTTGCTTTATGTGGTAATTCAGATATATGCTTAGGGTTTTTCCTCTTAACTTCAAAGAGAGAGGACTGTATATTGTTTTCATTTTTATTTCACATTGCTGTTTCAGTTGTTTGTGAGTGATGGAAGAGAGTAAGCATCTTCTAATTAATAATTCCCAAATAATAGTGTACCATCCTGAAGTGCAAATCTGAAGAAAACTTGTCAAAACCTAACTTTGAAGCTCTGGGCAAATGTCAGTTAAAAGTTGAGTGAATTCACATCATAATTCATAGCCAGCCTTTGCTCTCTAAACTTTCACTTGTGCCCCCAAACAAATTAAACTAACAGAAATCTCTGGCCACTTAGTTGGAATACTGCTTATCCTTTCTTTTTAATAATGCTAAATTATACTGTGAAGAATAGAGAAAATTTATAATACTATCACATTAAGAACTTCAGTTTTTGTCCTGATTTCAGTTTTCTCTCAGCCCCCACTCAAAAAAAACTTTCTAGCTATGAAATTTTTGCCTGAATATAAGGACTAAGAAAAACCTGAGAAAAGTACTCAGGATTTAGGCTTATCACATTCAAAGACACCTTTATTCTTGTACAGATCACATATTCTACAGTACACCCACTTTGCATAGGTGTAATGTGATGACACCTGATGCAAGGCAGTATAAAGAACAGAATTATTAGATTGTAACTTGAATTGTAAAATCTTTGGTGCAGAAATTCCATTTTTATTTATGTTGTAAAGTGCCTGGTTCTGCATAAAACATTAAAATATTATTAATTATTATTAATTATTATTATTGTTAATAATAATAATAAATAATGGAGTGGGCTAGTATATATGTTTAGGGTTGCCAGTTTAATTTTAATCACAGAACATAATCTTTATTTAAAGATCAATCTTTGATTCCTGGACGATTGGCAACCGTAAGTATGTTCCAGGGAAAGAAAGAAAGAAAGAAAGAAAGAAAGAAAGAAAGAAAGAAAGAAAGAAAGAAAGAAAGAAAGAAAAGACTCTGATACTGCAAACATTTATGCACACGTCTAACTTTAAGCATGAGTGTATGTTGCTTGAAGATCAAGGCCTAAGACACGAAGACTGAGGGAACAAAGGGAATGATTAGTTATGCTCCTTGTGGTGATGGGGAATGAAAAGAGATGACAGCATTAAGTCCAGTTAGGCTATAGTTAGCTTGTGTGAGGATCCAAAGGCCTGGATTGCTTCTTACACTGCTTTGCCATTTGCACCAACTTACTGCTGTTTTCTGACTAAATTTCTCCTAATATGTAAATGGAAACATAATTTACTCCACCATCAAATCTGGTCATGAGATGCCAGTGGGAGCTGCATTCAATTTCTCTGGGGCAGAATTTGGCCCAGAAAATTAGCTTTTATGATGAAATCAAAAGACACAAGCAAACACACACACAGCTGCTTCTTTTACGTTAGATAATTCTTTGTGGCTAACTCACATACATTTTTTTATTTGTTTTTCCTCCCCATTTAGAAAAGCGTGTAACTATGTGCATGGCTGGAACTTGGAAATGAAAGAATTGTTCTCCTGGACAGTACCCTACTTGCTGAGCTCTCCCCAGAGAATCCCTTGATCTGCTTATGCCTGTCTGAAGCCCTGAAAAAGTCAAAAAGATTAGGGGAAAGTCAATGAGAATTTAGACACGCCTGACTCCAACAAACTATTTACACCAATTCACAAAGGAAAAACCTTGGAAGTGTTTCCAAAAATAAAGTTCAGGAATGTGAGTTAATGCTGGTAGGGATCCTAATGCACAGACTTTCCCCATAATCAGGGTTTACCTCAACTCTGTTTATTCTGTAAACTCTGGTTTCTCAACAGAAACAGCTCATCACACTACACCCATGTTATACAGACATGCAGAAAGTCTTTGCAAAGAACTAGCTATAGAATAACCCAGCTGTTTCTTTTACTAAATCTCTGTGTTAGCAAACTCTGTCATCATTTTCCAGTGTTGGGGGGGAGGCGTTAGTACTAAGCCAAAAAAAGAAGCCGCCAGATTGACAGCACTGAAAAGCAAAGTAGTCGACTTATCCTTAGAACATTCACAGCATGGCAGTTAGCAGCAAAACTGTCAATTAGTGCATAACTTACTACAAATGATTCATAGGCAGCCTCTTTTTTCTGCTAATGAATTATCTGCAAAGACTTTGTGATTTTTCTCACATTCATTTAAATTGTTCAATGAACATTTTCTATGAATAATTCTTGGCCTGCTGCTCATTCATGAGCTGTTCACTGTAAGAATTCATGGGTTGAAATGCATTAGGCAGTTTCATTAGTGCATAACTTACTACAAATGATTCATAGGCAGCCTCTTTTTTCTGCTAATGAATTATCTGCAAAGACTTTGTGATTTTTCTCACATTCATTTAAATTGTTCAATGAACATTTTCTATGAATAATTCTTGGCCTGCTGCTCATTCATGAGCTGTTCACTGTAAGAATTCATGGGTTGAAATGCATTAGGCAGTTTCATTATAGGGCTGGATTCACCAGTGTGCTCCATGGGTTTATGTCTGATTTGCGTTGCCAGAGTGTGACCAAGCAGCTGGAACGTACCAGCAAATCTAACCCATAAATCCCACGGTGATCCCAATTCTCCACTCAGTTACATTACATCACTGACACATCTCAGAAGTCAACCAAGTTACATTTATGTAACTAAGTGGAAAATTATGACCCACTTGTTACGTTTCTGTCCCCTAGAGGAAGGAGGACAATTCTTATAATTAGATTGTTAATTACATACTTTCAGTGGCACAGGGTCAGGTGTGGGGCTGGCAACCAGGACCCTGGATGCAGGTCCAGGAGGGGCACCATTCATAAAATCTGGAGGTGCTGTAGCATCTTCAACACTGTTAGTTCCCATGCCTATGTGCATTCATTAATTAAAAATTTACTTCCCATGAATATCCTTTCCCACATTCCCTTAAAAATGTGCTGTTTCAGATTTGTGGAAAGTGAATGCAAAAGGTACATGAACGTGATCAGTATGAATTCATTTTTTAAAAATTTAGCTTAGTAAATGTGGGAAATGTTTTGTTCTCTTTGCCTGGCTCTATTGATCCCTATTCAATCGCTCTGACCAACTGGCGTTACCATGACAGCTTTTGACAATATAGACCCATGAACAAAGAACTGCAGTCTTCTCTAACCTGGGTCATACACTGGAATGTCTAACAACAAATTAAGAGCAATGTACCCTGGATCAAATGTGAACCACTGTAAGTTCTTGACCGTAGTAATGCCAAATCCAGAGCCTCTCACCCCCACTTCTCCCAAAAGTATGTTTCAGAAACAGAGCCTATTAGTTTATTAGGAAAGAGTTTGACAGGAAAATAATGTTGCAGTAGGTGAAAGAGCAAGAGGACAGTGAAGTTGGTTTTGTTATTTCCTTTTCCAGTTAAGATCCCTTATGCTTCTTCTCTTCTTTTCACTTTGTTTTTTGTCACTACTAAAATACAAATGGCTTATCTGGAGTGGACAGCAAAATCCATACAGGAATGAGTGCACTCTCCTGATATCCTGAAAAATGATCAACTGTCTTATTGTTCATATCCCTGTACGATCTTTCAGATTATCCTTGCTTTCATCTCTGTGATGGATAGGAGTGCTGGCCTTTTCTGAATATTCCAGCATTCAGTGGCTAAAGGGTTAAACTCAGGTAGCTAGGGGGTATTGGCAGGGAGCTAGGAGCGCCAATGGGAGAAGGTATTCAGATTTGAATTGAAAGACATATCTGCCTTCTGTTTTTCTTTGTGCGAGTTTTAAGAGTTGGGGAAACAAGATGAATTGAACCAGACAGAACTACCATGCCTTCAAAGACTGCTGGGAATGGAAATGGACTGGATCTTGAAGCACGGCTTGTAAGTAGATAGGGAAATGTCTATTTAGACACGATCCGGTTATTTTCTTTGTTTTGTTGTTTAATTAAACATCTCTGTGCTAAATCCATGTGCCACACCCTCCGCATATACTGTAGTTTAAGCTGTGTCCCATGGATGGAACTTCTCTGTGTTTTTAAATTGTTCTTTTTTCAGTTGCTTTAAAACACCTAGCAACCAAGTACAATTTACCAAGCATATCTTTTTGTTTTGTTAATAAAATCACCTTTTTTAAAGCTATGATTTGATTCTTTGTCCTGGAAAGTAATAGGAGGTCCTTGAATGCCTGGCTAAGACTGAGAGGTCAGCTATCAAAGACTGAAGTTTGTTTTTCTTTTTTTATTCCAAGCTCTTTTGTGGTAAAATAACTTAGGGGTCCAAGTGCTTTCTTCTGGGTTCAAGAAGAAAATTTGATGTTTTGTTTCATTTGGTGGTGGCAACTACCTCCCAAGGCCAGGGAATCTGTGATCTTGGGGAGCTTATAAGCAGAAGCCTTATAGAGGCAAGGTACTTTTAAGATCTCTTGTGGGCCCCCACCTTCTGCACTTGGAGTGCCAGAGTGGGGAACCGCCTTGACAGTCTCAATACACAGCAGCCTGCTATAACTGCAAACCAAATTGATTTCACATTCTGCTATTGTTTATCAAGATATTTCTCATTAAAAAGAATCACCCCCTGTGTATGTGTTGAAGGCTATCTTTACTTTCTGAGGGAGTTGATTATGAAGTGTACCTCCATGCTAAGTACTTCCATTCAAAATTTCTAATTAAAGTATCATTAGA